ATATATATATATTATGTTTATGTGTTATATGTTTTTTGATTTTATTGTATTTTCGTATTTTTATTGATGTTGTGCCTTTATGTCATATCCAAATTAGTACTATATAGGTATATGGTAAAAGAAAGTGTTATTATACATGTTTGAATAAGTTTCTCCAAAAACACTTTAAAAAAAAAAAATAAGAAGAAAAATTGAAATGAAATTTTTCATAAATTAAAATTAACTTATATAAAAGTTAAAAATAAGATATTAAAGAAGTTACTAAGATAAAACCTCTAAAAATTAACTTATGTATAAATTAATTTTAATTTATAAAAACTCTTATTTCATTTTTTTTTCTATTAATTTTTTTCTCCAAAAGATGTTTCAGAAAAATTTATCCAAATAAAATCATTGTTGCACACTTCCACTGCTTAAAATTCATACTACAGGTGCACTTATATCTTTGTCTTGTTTCATAGTAATCGCACCACTCAACAGGCGATTTTCTAATAACGATCATAACTGTACTTTATCCTTCAAATAATAATTTCTTAATTACTTGAGGAACTAAATCCAACTTTTAAAGTCTTCTTCATATCTCATTGTTTCTGCAAATGTCATGCATATATCATGAACATTTTTAAATAACTTTAAGGCCTGGAATTTCGTACCTTGTATTGATCTAACGCATTTAATCTTGCCCTTGCATTATGCAGCCCCTCACAATTTAAAGGGCCACTAGCAGCAGCAGCAGAATAAAACTTTAAAAACTGGCCAAGAGCAGAAAGGGTGGTATATATCATATTATATAGGTATTTAACTTTTTAGTACTTCAAGGTTTAGAATAACAATCGTGAAAGGTGCATGAAAGAAAAAGAGAATAAGCTAGCCGAGGAGGAAGATCCAGAGGTTTGTGCTCTCCCTTACTTTCTCTGCTCTGTCGTGTCAGTTTGTTGACAATACCTTCTTTTGTCGGAGGAAAATGTGAATTTAAATTTTTAATAAAAATGCCAAATTATTCTTGATTTCCATGAACATTATATATATATATATATAGAAAACACGTAAACCCGACCTTATAAAAATGCAGTGGCATGTAGCATAATTTTGTTGAATTATTTACGTTGGCTAATTGGGTCCGACGTAAATTTTAACATCTACGTCGGTTAAGCATTGTGTCCGATGTAGATGTTAAAATTTACGTCGGACCCAATTAGGATCGACGTAAATAACCCCCAAAACATGTTAAAAGGTGAGCGCACTAGCTAAATTTCAAAATGTTCATTGTTTTTCCTTCTCCCGCACCTCCTCCTCCTCCTTCTGTTTTTCTTCCTTCTCCCGCGCCTCCTCCTTCATGGCGTTCATCTACACCTTCTTCTGTTTCTTCTTCGCGTGGTCATGGACTTTTCTGGGAGGTTCTATGAGGTAGCATCTTCCATCAAGTTTGTGTTTTCTGGGATGTTTTTTTCATAATAATGTTCGTGTTGCATTTCGAGTTTTTGAAGCTGTAGAAGGAGAAGGAAGTGACCAAGCCCGGGTTTGCAGAACGCACTCCTGGGTCTATCAAGCAGAACGGGCCGTTCTGCTTGGAGAACGGGCCGTTCTGCTTGGAGAACGACCCGTACTCCATGAAGAACGGGACGTTCTCCAAGCAGAACGGGCCATTCTCCAAGCAGAACGGGCCATTCTCCAAGCAGAACAGCCCGTTCTGCTGCACTTGTTTTCTTTTTTTTTTTTTTAAATTTTGTATGACTTTTTACGTCGGACCTTGGAATGTCCGACGTTAATTTACGTCGGTTTTTGTGCCGACGTAAATTTACGTCTCCCGCTTCTACGTCGGAGGCTTTTCTGACGTAAAAACCCCTAAAATAACTGACGTAAAATGTGTATTGTGTACTAGTGATATATATATATCCAGAACTTTTGGCTGTAAAGACTACAGTTTACTAGATTTAACTTGGCATTTGCTGTTCCTATTTAAGTATATCCAAATAAAAATTGTTTGTTCTTTGGAATTTTACAATATTGCATGTACAGAATTGGTCCTTTTAATACTTCATACTTTATTTTCCGCAATTATTGTTGACTAGAACATTTTAAAGGGGTCTCTAATGGGGTCGAGTGGATGACATTTTCCACTATCACCAGAGGAAATCCCTGGCACACGCTAATATTTGTTAACCGAAGGTTCCCAATTCCTTTCCTGTGATTCATACGTAAGGTAAAATAGAGGGTAAAAGAATCCTTTATTAAGCAGACCTTTAAAAACAATAGATTTGCGAAAAAGAGGAATCTAAAATGATATGAAATTGGATAAAATAAACTTATTAGTAAACATTTCAGAGAATAAAATAAAATAAATTTAGGTAAAAATAAATGAATTGATACACCTCAAATTTTTTTAGAAGTTCCCTCCTTAATGTTTTCATTGGGTTATATAATAATATAAGTTGATTTTAACTTTGAAAAAATATTAATTCACTTAAACTCTTTAATTTATTTTATTCTCTTCTCCTAACAATGTATATCAAAAAGTTTATCTAAACTAGCCTTAGAATTAATATAATCTTTTGGTTTATCTACTATGTCTATATACCAGTGAGGGTTGATAGGATATGGGATAAGGGGAAAGTCTCCCTTCAAGTAAAATACTGTAGCGGTTCAAACTACACTCTAGTCCTTCGATCAGTAAGGATTATCCTTAGTCGCTATGCAGTTATGGTAAATTTAAAATCCTTGATGTCGTGGTCACAATTGTGATTATAGACAGCAATTTAGAATAATCCAGGATGCAAGTGAAGGTATGTGTGACTGTGTCCTTTTGGAATAAATGGTGCAATAAGGAAGATGTATTAGTTTCTAATGACACCAGCTTTTAGTTGTGAAAGTTCGATTTAAAGAAAATACAAAACAAACTAAATAATGATAGATATTCAAGGAGATCCCTTATTGTTAGAGGTGAACTTGAATTCAGTAAGGTTGGTTGAAAGAGGAGATTTATCACAGAAAGGGGGACCATGAGAGCAACAGAAGAGTCAAATAGGTTCCCCAAGGATAATCCGTAGCATATACCAGTGCAAGAAAAATGGTTAACAGGTATGCTAGCTTCAAAGGAATAGAAGAATGAATAACAGTGCAAGTCTCCTTATTGGAAGATATATCACTACTGCATTCTTGCTTGAGATCCGCTTTTCGCCCAAAAGAGAATCGCCCGGCAAGATACGTGCGTACATTGGTCTACTTAATTATAAGTTGAAAG